TCTCTCTCTCTCTCTCTCTCTCTCTCTCTCTCTCTCTCTCTCTCTCTCTCTCTCTCTCTCTCTCTCTCTCTCTCTCTCTCCCTCTCTCTCTCCGTCTCTCTCTCTCAGTTTCGCAAAAGATACTTATTGAACTGTGTCCCAAAAAGCACAGGGGAAGCTTCAAACTGAAGGGTCTATACTAGTTCGACACTTCGGATACGTTCGTGACACGAAATGCTGTGGGTGACTATACGGTGCTTGTCTTTTCCATCTCTCAGCCCTCTGGCGTGCTAATATGCCATTTCTTGCGGGCTTCCTCTCTGTCAATCTCCTGTGATCTCCGATGTATCCGAATTTCTGTTATCTAGGAAAATCACATTGAAATGCTTTTAAAAGCGAGGCTGATGATCTCCGCGTGTGCTCGACCCTGCGTCATCCGTGTGGCGTCTCGAGAAAATTAAGTACAGTCTCTCTTAGACACTCTGTCTCTCGCTCTTTCTGTCTCTCTCTCTTTTCCTATATCTCTCGCTCTTCAAATGTACACAACCATTTCTTGCGGACTTCCTCTGTCTGTCTATCTCCTGTGATCTCGGATACATCCGAGCTTCGCTTATCTTGGAGATTCACATTACCTTGCTGCTCTCCTACAACGATCGTCTGAAATGCTTTAAAAAACGAGGCTGATGGTCTACGGGTGTGCTCTTTATGTACTGAGGCAGCAGTACATATAACACAGTGGTAGCAGATATATGTATTGACTTAGAGGCGTATAACACGGTGTATACTCTGATGTGGTGTTCCACATCTGGACACATCCGAACCACGAGAGGAACGCAGCAGATATATGTACTGACTGTGCTCCTCGCCTCAAAGCTGCTTTACTCCTTGTTCGGATGTATCCGGATCTGGAATTCTAAACCAGACTATACAATGTGCCATAAATTCGTTTCAAAATAGTACACACAATAATGTACCGTTTTAACGAATAACATGTTTTTCTCTTTTTTTTTCATAGACTTCAAAAACCTCTTCACACCCTCCAAACCGTTTTTGTAATCGTCGAGGAAAGCCAGTTGGACTGGAAGAGGATCGAAAGGTTGCTGTGGACCAGCGTAACCACCGTTGTCCGTTTGTTCGAACCAGTAAAGAGGACCATCATCGGGCAACCACTTAGCGTCTGTGCAATACTCTTTATAGGACATGGCGGGATTATCACCTATCATGTAGAATTTTAGCAAATGAGGCTTCGAAATCCCTGTCATGCGCTTTGAAATGTGCGTGTAAATAAGACCTCTCCAGTCTGCTATCCTATCAAGAAAAATACACCGCGGAGTAGTCTTATGAGACCGCTCTAGCAAAAGGAACAACTCATCCATTGTATAGGTATCATTGTCCTTAAGTTTCTTGGAGAAAACACTAAACGTGGCATCGACGTCTGTGTGCGTGTGTCCAACTATCATAAAACCAATTTTTATTTCCTTGAAAATCCTGAACTTCACAAGAAGTGCTGCCAATGCGCAAATGAATCTATTCTTGTTTTCTTTGAAGCAGTTGTCAGCTTGAATACGAAGAAACGGCGGTAGAGGTTTCCCACTGGATTGGATCTCCGTAAGAGTCCGCATTAAACACGCCGCCGTACTGCTGGGACCGTGTGTGTAGTAAGGAAAATATGTGTAAACATATATAGACGGATCCCGGCCATGGACCAGAACGGCCGTGAGACCAGTCTTCATCATCCTTTCGTGGTGCAAGTTCTTCGAGTAGTTAGCCTGTCCTATATGTGGTATGGTAGTTTTCTTTTGATCCATGCCGTCAATATTGATGCACAGACACTCGGACTGCCGCAAGATGGAATCCATTTTGCAGCGGCTATAGTCTGGCCTGTGGTTGACTTGTAGCTCTTGATGTTTCCGAATCCTATCTTTGGATTTCTTACGGTCCCTCTCGTACCTCGACTTGGCAATGCACTGCTTGTAGAATATACATTTTGCGCACTTCGTGAAAGTGTTGGACATAGCTAGACTCACGTGCCAGAAGTGCTTACTCCACATAGCGTAAAAAGTCGACTCCGACACAACTTCCGAGTGACACATCAAAAGATCAGAGCGCAATGATTCGTAAATTGCTCGTTTTGTGAATGCCGCAGGAATCCTACGGCGAGGACGACAAACTCCGTTTTTCCAGACCATGTCATTCGACATACTATCGGCGTGGTCGTCGATGAATCGTTTCAACAGTACAAGCATCGTGACGACTTTTTCGGATGGTTTAGACAAGCTCGAGTGCCCATGCTCCCTAACGACAACACCGTTATCGTACATCCTTTTGTAGACATAAAAGGTGTTACGAGAAATGTCGAGAATGTTACAGTACGCCTGCACGCACATCTTCCGTTTGCAAGCTACAGGCCTGACCTGCTCAGAACCACCTTCCATAACCGTGAAGTCCTGTATGGTTTGCAACCACCACTTGTCCTTTCCGTGAAACCTTTCGAGTAGAATGCCTCCCGCACCGGCCTAGCATCTTCGGCTGTCAATTCAGTGCAACACATCCGCCTACAACAGAGCATCCCTCGCATTGCCTAAAGTGTTTGCATCCTGAGTTTGCCCATAGCTCGCCGATGTTGTGTCTTTTTGGCCGGTTCTCTGTTTGCCATAGAATAGGGTCTTCTTTCACCGGGCATAGGCGCCAGCAAAATGTACCGTATGTGGCGGTCCTCTTCGGAGAGGCGGCGCGAGCTCTGACTGTCTCGTGAATAGCAGTACTCAGTGATTTCATTCGTGGACGGTCCTTGACTCTCCTGGCACCGAGGAGGGGTAGACGAGGAAACCCTAACACCCCCATCGGCAACTCCCAAGGATGAACCAGCAGTACTGCAGTTGTTCGCACTACACACGTACTTCGTCCCACTATAACTACAGTCACCGATATTCCCCTCGGGTATGGAGCTCGACATCCCAGCTTCGGTCATTTCAGAACATGCTGAAGAGACTCTGGATGTACAATCAACACTAAGAAACTGGCCCCCGCTTCCAGTGTTTTTCTGGTCTTCGAGCACGTCACGACAGATGTACGAATGCGCGGTGGAGGCGGACAACTGTGTTCTCTTCCGTCGATGCTGAGCGTTTGAGTCACGTGACCGTTTTCCAGAGGAAGCACATGGCTCGAGTCGAGAAGAAGCACTATCGACACTGCTCGGAACTCCAGTGCCCATAACCAATCCCTTCCCCGCCAATTCCTGCCGAAAACGTAACGGAAGGCAAGCTGGCGTGGGAGGGAAGTCTTGATCGACCGTCGTCATATCACACCAGTGAAGAATGTGTTCAGAAGCGTTGCACTTTTCCCTGCGAGCAGAGCAACAGACGTTGACCCAAATCGCTGCCGAGACAGTTGTTGGACTTTGGCAATGATAAAGCGGCAGAGATATGTCCGCCAGTTGGGGAGCACTATAGAGGGCAGCGCAACGAA